CTGGTCTATGTTCATGTGTCATGGTTTGGACAAAAAGATGTTTTTGACGCTAGCCCATTTCAAATGAGATGAACAACGCTCTGGAATCTACCAAAGTCTTCACAAGGATGAAGTCACACTATGCTTTAAAAACTGTCTGTGACAACTTAGTTATTAAAAAAATAAAAAATGCAATGGATTGGATTAATTTTTAAAGACTTTTAGGTGATTTATTATTTTCTCTTAATCTAGCTATACTTGTCTTTTAAATTTTATATTTAAAATAACTGCTCCACTATCCTGAGAGTCATGTCACAACACAGTGTAAGTATAGTATAGTATAAAACAAGTGTCCTCAGTTTACCTAGGTCACCTTTTCTTCTCACCTCTAGGGCCTGAGGCAAGTTTTACATAAAGGGTTTCTGTACATTGAAGGTTGCCCTTCAAGCTCTTCAGGGACATGAGTGCACTCACTTCTTGCTGACTACACATTTCATTTACATTTGGCCTAAATCTGCCCTGCAGTGATCTGGATGCACTTCCTGGCTCTGCAGTCTCAGAAAAGAGAAAGGATCACTATTGGTCATCCTATCACATTTACAAAAGGTATTGCTCAGAATAAGTGAAATATTTGTCAGAACTGTATTGAAACAAATTATACAACTGTTCCAACTTATAAAATTATCCAGGCACATAACTCTGAGTTTAATGATCTGAGTGAATATGAAGAGTAAATATAATATAGTCTATTGATTATGGGGTTATCTGAAGTGAGCTGCTTGGCTGAAACCTGAATCTTCCCACCACAGCTCAGAGCTATCAGTGCAGTATTTTTGCCACAGTTTCTGAGTTGTTCTGTGTTTTAAGTGCAGCAGGGAGTTAGAGATCATTACCATACCGTAGCACAGTGTGACAGTGTTTTTTAACCCACCTCGCTCAATATCTGCTATTTATGTTTACCAATGACAGTGATCCAAAATGATCCCCAAATTCCTTCCTAAGTTTAAGAAAAGGACACTACTGGAGAAAGTCACAAGAGAACAGGCATTTTCTTAGTTTCTGGGTTTCCATCTGTAAAATTAGTGGATGGTCAATTCTTTAAGCTTTTTGGTTGAAAAGTGTAGGCAAACTGTAACTTCTGAACAGACAGACAGACAGACACACACACACACACACACACACACACACACAGAGTCAATGTTTATATTCTGCTCCCTTAAAATGTATCTAGAAATTATCTTTAAAAAAGAGATGTGTCTTAATATGTCTTAATTTGTAGGGTAACTTACGACTGTTTTATCTAAAATAGTACCAGGGTACATTATACTTTATTAGATATAACATGATTCTATGATCATGTTCTGTAAGGGCAGATGTAATATTTACCTTCTTAGGGGTATTCTCTATACATTGTAGGTGATCACAAAGCAAGTGTTAAATTAATAAAAGAATCAATGAGCCAATGGGCTTATAAAAATGAGAACCATAAAAATGTGCCTCAAAGATACCTAGTTAGAAGGTCTCAACTGCCAACCTCTGAAATCTATTTTCTCCCTGTGCAACAGCATGCTTCCTCAGAGCTACTCCTAGCCGATGGCTGATCACACACAGCAGGCACTCTAAGACGGGCTTATTCCCAGGAAGCATAGGACTCCTCTGACTTTGCCTCAAGGGCTCCCCAAACACTACTAAATCTGCCTGAGATTGCAGAGTGGCCTGGCATACCTCTTTCTGATCTTTCCTCCCTGTCTCCTTCACCTGTGGAGAGTTACCTGGCTCAGCCACCAGTGACCATTCCCTCCCCATTTTCTCTTATGTAAGTGCTCTCTTAAGAAAGTCTTTGGCAGCTGTTTCTCTGATGACATGAACTAACACAGTAGGTAACTTCAAAACTGGGTGATGCTTTTTGAAAAATTAGCTCCACTATTTAACCATCTTGCTGATCTACTTTACTATAAATTAATATATTACGCAAAAAATACAATAATATACTCTCTAACACTTATAATGAATTCATGTACCCCACAAAATAATTAGTCTCCTTTGAATTACAAATGATTAGTCCTGAATCAAGATCCACACCTTAGGCACATGTTAAATAACTGATCACTTATCCTTTGGGGAGAATGAATTGATTCAGAATATAAATTTCATCACTCAGTTTGGACTTTAATTTTATTTTTCAACATTAGTGATATGCATTTGAATACTATACAACTTGAATATAAACATTAACATCCTTAATTCCATACTAATATCCCCTATTCATTTGCAAAAAGAAAAATATGTATTAAACGGCATTCTATTTAGTTAATACATTCCTCCTCACACAATGCAAATCAGTTTCCTAATTACTTCATAAAATATTTAACATATTTCTACTCACAAAAATATCTTTATCAGTAAGTGCCATTAAATTTAGAGGTAATAATGTGATTTTTATCGATATTACACATTATAGTTAGAATTTTCCATCTTATACACTTTAGGTACATGCCTCATTTCACAACCTGATGAAAGGAAGAGCTCTTGAGATCAGGAGTTGTTCCATTTATTTGATTTTTTTTTTCATTACTTTCTGCTACAGTTTATGGTATATCTACACCAAGAATCTACTTAATGTGTCTTCTTGGTAGCAGGAATGCAGTATCAGCTCGCAGACCCACACAGTGATAGCAAGCATCTAGTGATGTGGCATTTGGGGGATGGATTCTCCCACATGATCAGTTGCACATATTCTATGAATAACAGCAGCAGTTATGTGCAAGTCAGCATATGGAAGACAGAACAGGGAGCAAAGATTGATATTCAGCAATGGTTTTCAGCAGACTGTCCACTGCAGAGGAGGAGGCTCTACCCTCTGATATCCTCAGCCTCGCTTTTCCTGGGTCTTTCCTTCTTTGCCAACTGCTTCCTCCAGGGATGACAGCATAGGAAAGAGAGTGAGCCCCAGAGTTATGACAAGTTATGGTTTTGATGTTGCTGCTGCTCATTTGTCTGTTTAGATTTGAGCCCTGATAATTTTTTTTAATTTTTGAGTTAACATGTAATAATTGTACATATGGTGTACAGTGTGATATTTCAATACACACACATTATGTGTACTGATCAAATTGGAGTAATTAGCATTTCCATCTCCTCATTTCTTTATGTTTGGAGCCTGAGCTCCCCTCCTCTCATTCTTCACAAAAAATATAACAGGTCGATGTGAACTATAGTTCATACTCCACGTTACTCCTTTAACAAGCTGTATTTTGATACCTATTATCCAACCTCCCTCTCTCTCCCTCCCCTAAACTCTTCCACATATGAGAGAACATGCGGTATTTGTCTTTCTGATTTTGGCTTATTTCATTTAACATTGTAACCTCCACTTCTATCCATTTTGCTGCAAAAGACAGGATTTCATTCTTCTTAAAATTTCCTTCAGCTTCACTTACTATCCCATAATTATAAACGAAATAAAATCCTCTATCATTATGAAAAAAATGACACCAAAAGCACTGACAAGTCCAAATTTAAATAGCCAATTCATAGAGGTCAGTGTCCTTACCTCTACACTGGCCTGAAATATACATATTTCCCAATGACATACGTGAAATAAGTATTTTCTTCTGTTTTTAGCTGAGAGCCTAGCCATTGCTTCTATATATTTGATATGTAGTCTAGAACTAGTAATCATGTACACAGACTGAAACTGCATAGAGTTTTATTTGCTAATTAGACCTCAGGGACCAGAATTTGAATCAACTCTAGAGTTACAGAATAAAGTAGAATCACCACCTCATGCCAAATATGCTACTATGTATGCATCCTTAGAGCAAATGATATAAATATCAACCTTAAAAGTTGGATTTATATAAGTAACACTGTGAGATACTTGAAAATTTTCAATTAAGCTTCCAAATAACTAACTAGTATTCTGCACACATCTTTTATGTCCACTATGGCACACTGGAAGGACGTTGCAATTCGTGATATTTCTGCTGTTTTGAAAATAAGAGCACATCATTTTGGTGCTCATCGTACTACATGAACACCTATAAATATTTATAAACTTAGCTATTAACCTTCTCGAAGGCCAACATTTTGATCATTCACCCATGGGTTTAATCAAACATTCTCGAGATTCTGAGACTATGTACAGGGAATGTGAAGAATGATTAATCGAGGTACAAATAACTGAAAAGGTCAAAAATACAAGATTCCATTCACTATCCTGGATAAAATAGTCAAAGTTAGTGTCAAATATCAGACTAGGAACAAAACCAGTCAATAAGAGCCCCCACTCCCATTCCTGATTATCAAATAATATGAAATATCAATAGTTTATAATTTATAACTAAAAATAATATCTTTAAAAATTTATTTCCCCGTTTTCAATTTAGTTCTTGTTGTAAAGTATAAAAATGTATACATATTTTGATGTTAAAATGGCAAGAATATGCTTCTAGTTCAGAGCTATAATGAGAAGTAATGATGAAAATAAAAGAATTATAGGACATTTAGATTGAGTTTAAACAAGAGTGACTGGCAACTACAACAATACAAGACAAACAGGATCCAAACCATAAGCTAAAATGTATCTGCTAGCTGGAAGAAAAGCAGTTACTTTTACCTTCTAGTTCTTTTAGACTTTGTCTTGGTTTTATCATGAGATGACAGTTTGTATGATTGGCAGTTGATTGCTACAGAACTTGTATTTCTTCCTTCCTTTGATATTTTTGAAGAGTGAAAACAAAATTGTATTTCATTATGCTGGATTGACACATGACAGAGACCAGAGTGACTTTACTGTCAAAGAAAGATGCTTGTTCATCCTGCAGGAAGCCACTATTCACTGTTCTATATGCATGCCTTACCTTCATTATTCAAAACATAATTAAACAAGGCAAGAGATTTCTTTAGGTATGTTGTGTGTGTGTGTGTGTGTGTGTGTGTGTGTTGTATGTATGTAATTTGACTCTTCTGATCCAAACTTATGTCTCATGACTTGGGGAAAGGTTGTTTTTTTTACTTACCTAAAATCTTGCCCAATATCAGAGATCTGACTGCAGTGAATTCGGAACCTGAGGACAGGTATATTTGTCTCCTTGTATTCTCATCAATCTTCAAAATGAGATACAAACATCCAAATGGGTGTCATTTTGTTGAGGAAAAGACAGGAAACAAAGAAAGAAAAAAGAAAGTGATAAAATAGGCAATTGTTAGTATGTATTGCCCTAAAGATTTCTTTAAAAATCAATTTTAAGACTTAGCTGTTTAAAAAAGTGAACATTATTTTCTATACTATATTCAGATACCACTTTGCTCCATTGCTATCCTTTTATATTTCCTTACTTTTCTGCACTATTTAAGGAATTCAAAATTGGTAAAGCCAGCCAAAAGGTATGAGTTATTTTTCACCTCAGCATTTTACATAGCTTAGTATTTTTACTGGAGTCATGCAGCTAGGAAAATTTCTTCTACATAGAGGCTGAAACATTGATGCTTTTCTTCAAAAGCTGCTAGAGTGAATAATTCCACTTTATCTGTTGTGACTCACATCCTTTTTTAAAATTGTTCTGATAACACAATCATAATTCTCTGTTCTAGAATTATATTTGCATTTATACCAATCCTATAAATAAATAGGTTTCCTTGGACTGGTGATGGGGCTACCCGTAGTACATGATGATAAACTGGACATCATTTCCCTACTGAGCAAAGTGAAACCAGTAAGGAAAGTCTGGCATTTTAAGTGTTAAATAGTAATAATATCTTGGACAGAATCTTACTGCTTAAAAAAGCTACACTTGATGGTTTATAATCTGTAGAAGGCCACTAAGATGTGTCTTTATTTATTCTGGTTATGATCAAGCTTCTGCTATAAATGCTCCATGCTGAAGAGTCAAAATCACAAAGTGGCTTCTGATGAATTTTCTACATTACCTCCACAAGGACCATCCTTTCTTCTCGGTTAATCTTTACGTGGTGAAGTTGCCCATCAGCCATACTTTTAAAATCAAAGTTAATAACATCAGGTTCTTGATATTTGCTTAGCTTGTACCTTATTTGGAAACTTCCTAAAGCAAGAAAAGAAGTTATATTTTTGGTAATTTTAAAAACTATAAAAACTCGAAATCCTTTTATTATTATTCATTTTCAGGGGAAAATTCACATTCATTTAGATGTACCCTCTAAACATAGTTCCTAAATGTCAGTTTCTCAGTGAAATTACAATATTTTCAATGTCAAGACCAAGCATATTGCTCATAAGTCATCTCTTTTCTGCAAATCTTTAATTTTCATTCCTTAAAGTCAACTCTGAGATTAAGCATATGCAAATTTCTGCACTAGGCTTTAACTTAAAAGAAAGAAAAATAAGACTAAATATTTCTGAAATGCAAACTCTTCTGAAAGAATGCAGTAACATTCTCTTTCTATGATTTGTATTTTTCAAATATATATCTCTCACTCCTGGAAGACAATTAACTAGTGGAAATATTATAAGAAAATGTAGTTTTACTAAAGATGAAAAATATTTCCAAGTAGTCATGGCCATAGACTTTGGGATGACATTAGGGTGAAATGAATGGCTTTGAACCAAACTTACCATTACAATTAATATCACTCAATTGCTTGCAGAGATTGTAATTAATTTGTTTCACAGGACACCTTACAATTTAACAAAGAAATTGTCCTAAAATATCGATAAGCTTCAAGCTCAAATCATAAAGTGAGTATAAATATATTTATTGACCAATAATATTATTTTTGTGGTGTTCAGTGTCCTTGGGCCATATTATATTTGGTTGAAATACATATTCACATAGGTGTATGTGTGTTTTTCTCATGTATAGTATTTATTTCTAAATTTTTCACCTTTAATCTAAATATAGGGGAGAGAAAAATAGCAATAAGTGGTTTTCTATGACAAGCTTTCTATAGCAAACACACTTCCTAATCCACACACCATTACCCTCCATGGAAATTCCAATATTTCCCATGACTATTTTATTGCCTATTATTAGAACCAACAGATCTTCTCATGGATACTTTCTTATGTATAATATTGGTTCATTAACACTCCCTAAATATTTCTTTACTTTGTTTAGAAGGAAATATTTGTTGGATATGAGACATTTTATTTCAAAATGAACCAGAAAATCAATACTGATATTCATGTGAAATAATAAAGAGGTCCTAGTAATAATATAATATAACAAATGAACTAACATTCACATTGCATTTTTAAAATTATCAAAATGACAAGAGATAAAATAATCATAATTATTTAAAATAATCCTCTTAGATTAGACTTATGAAAAAGCAAAATGAAGAGAGGACATAGGCACACTCTTTTTCTCCTTGTAGTTTGAGAAGTAAAAACTCAAGAACGATCCATATTATTACTGCCTTAATGTTCTAATTCAATTTTCTCTCTCTCTCTCCCATCTGAAAAGCACTCACCATTTTTGGCAATGATAACTGAAAGGTATTCTTTGTAAAAGGAGCTCATATACAGCAGTAAGCTTGGTGTTCTTGTTGTTCGGAAGCTAAATGTAATCATTTCTCTGCTCAGCTTCATATCACCATGAAATGAAGCAGCATGGGAGCTGGAGTTTTTGCTTAAGGAGTAATTTTCTTGAAAATTGTAAATCACTGATGAGCCAGATCCAAAATACGCAGAAATCTCTGAAATGACATGCACATTTTATGTTAAAAAATTTAACTCAAGGATCTTGGTTTTATTATAATTAATTGATATCTTAATATTTTTAAATCATAAACTCCACAGATAGAAGAAACAGCCTCAAAGTAGAATAACATGGTAAATTAATAGAGCTTTCATAATGGCCCTTGAAACGGCTTTATGTTAGAATGACATATAATTAATTCATTAGTATAACTTTACAATTGAAAGCTTAATGCTGTCTTAATTGAGTTCATACATAAGCCAGGCTACTTGTCCTTTACCTCCTTGAATATCCATTTTCTTATTTAAATTTTAACTCCCATCTATTACTTTGTAGATAGGATAAACTAGCCTTTCTATGATAGGAAAGGAAGTACGAAGAATGCTTTTTCTTTCCAGGATCAAGAAGCAGAAATTTGCCTCTTTGTTTAAATACTTTCTCAATTTCACTGTGCTCTACAAAAAGAAGACTAAGTCTAGCATTACTGTTGAAAAGGGGGAAAGACATTCATTCAGCAGGGATCAACAAAAGGAACTATGCAGTCTATTTTAAATCATCTATCAAAAGTGTAACACTTTGCCCATATGAGATTAATATCCCAAATTTACTAACATAAACACTCAAATATATATGAATGGAAATGAAGAGGATGGTGGGAAGGCTAACTTAGTTTGAAACCTGGAACTTGCCTCCAAAATATAAAGGGCTCATTGTCAAATATGCGTTGTAGATGATGCTTACTGGGTCATGTTGATGTCCCTCAGATTTCAAGATTTTAAAATTTTTATTATTTTTCAATAAAATAAAAAAGAATATAAAAATTTTATTATTTTCACTATCTATTATATACCTTTTATACACATCACAATATGAACATGCAGAATAGCATTCCTGATTGCACTTAGCAAGATAAACTGAAAATCATTTGTATCCCAAAATGAAGGCATGTTCTTCGGAAGGAAAAGTGCTCATAATTTTAACATTAAACACAAAAAGTGTCCTTGTTACCGTAAGTTGATTTTGAAATTACAGTTTATTCTTAATGAAAGCTGATGTCTTAAAAGGTACATTCTTGCCAAGTTTTTATTAACTGATCCCAATGCTTTCTTTGCAAATCAGGAGTTGCTTTGATTTGAAGCCAATTTGTTAGACTCCTTCAGGAAAAGGTTCAGTAGCCCAGAGACACTTGCACAAAGTAATTGAATTCAAATTAATTAGATGTCAGTTTTCTATGATACATTATGAAAAGATAACAAATATTTGTATAGTCAGAGAACTCTATGCAAATATTTGTATAGTCCAGAACACCACTACACTCAATTCTTTTCTTCCAGGACAGAGATCAATGAATGAGATTAGCTGTAAAATACTCTGCTATTTCATTTCACCAGCAGATACTCATCATATAGTACAACAAAGTATCCAAGTATCTCTATTTTGTTACATATTAATATTTAATGGAAAATATTTGGCAAAAAACAATCAAAAACAAAACTAAGGCTTTTTATATTCCTTTACATTGTTGAACATCTTCATCAAAAATAACAATACATCCTTGAATGATTTTAAAACAGAGAACTGCCAATGGGGCAGGGGACTGACAGCCATATTCTTTAAGAGCATCAACCAGAGACAGAAAAAAATAAAGCAGATTGAGCAGCTCACACTTGAAAACACCTAGAGGTGACTATTTGTGGATTTATCAGTGAGAGATGCTGGTTTTTCAAGAACTGAGTCAAATATCTAAGGAATTAAATATGACTGATATTCAATAGATACTTTGCAAAAGAAGTTCTGAAATAGAAGTATTTTTGTTCCAGATAGCTATGCAGAAAAAAATTGCCAGGTGTTCTATTCATAATAGGTGAGATTTCTTGTTGGAGTGGCTCACATCACACTCACCGTCGGAGCAGAAAGGCCCTGTGTAGGCAGAGGAAGAGCAGTCACAGAAGAACCCACTGGGCTTTTCTCTGCACTTCCCTCCATTGCGACACAACTTCCCGTAGCTGCTGCAATGTCCTCGACAACCTGGTTGCACCCCTGGAGTCACCGTGGCTCTTTCTTCCAGATCCAGGGCCATCCCGTTCAATTGCAGCGACCGGATACAGCCCAAAAAGCCTCTCTGTCTCGTGGCCGTCCCACCTAAAAGGGAAATACTGCAAATGCAAACATGTTCCCAGGTGTTTTATTCAGGATTTAAATACCAAACAAACCTGAGGCCTTAGAAGAACAATGATCGTGGTCTAGCTCAGAATGGCAAAAATTAGACAGGCAATTATTAATTTGGGAAACAAAATTCAGAACCAACTATAGACTTCAGGAAGACACAACAGGGCCAGTTGTGATGGTGCTTGTCTGTAATCCCAGCACTCAGAGGGCTGAGACAGGAGGATTTATGCCAGCTCAAGGCGAGCCTGAGCTACAAAAAGAGATGTTATCTCAAAAAACATACTCTACACATACAGAACATGAAAAGTTACATGAATTCCATATGTTTTGGAAGTTGTTAGAGATTTGTTTTCTAAAAACAATTTATTAAGTTTTAAGTTGAGGAAATTTTTTTCAGTCTCTTTATTGCACAGAACAAAACAAAAGGCCAGCTTCTACTTCCATTCAAAAGAATGACATGTATTGCAATTATGTTACACAGTTTTAGGTTTTTGTTGTTGTTGTCATCGTTGTTTAAGCACTTCTCCTACTCTAAGTATGTCCCAAAACCTGATTTGAGTCTGGTAGTTTTAGCTCTGAGAATTATGAAAGAATCCTGGAATGCTTCTATCTTAACTATACATTGATGTGGTCTTCTGGTTGCTATCCATTTGTCAAATCAATGGTAATTGAATATCCTTTTAATTTCTTAATTACTTTATCCTGGTATATTTCCAAGTGGTTTTTTTTTAAATATTAGCCTAGTGTGCATCACGTTATGCTTGGGAAACACAAAATTGGAAAACACTACTGATGAAGAAACAGTGACATACATCTCCTGAATACATAACTGCATATTTACCAAGTAATCCTCGAAGAGTCTATGATATTTGGGTGAAATCAGACCTCATTATCCTAAGGTGGAGGTTATCCACCCTAACTTTAAGGAATATGATTATCAAATAGAACTCATCTTAAAAATAGAAACTCAAAGCCAAGTCTACAGTCGAACAAGTTCAAAGGCCAACATGGATCACGTGTGATTCTTACTTAAAGGATCACTTGACCACCATTTTGTAAACACTGATAGGAACATAATCTTCAATTGAAATTACATATAAATTTGAGTGCAGGAATATCCTAAATTAATTCTCAGGAGTTGAAGTTGGAAAGTAGTACCCTAGTTTAGGAGGATCTATCATGGCTGATTAGAGGATTATATATTATAAGAAAAAAATATATATATATGAAGTATTTGAACCTTTAAAAAATACTCTTTGATCAATGAGTCAAAGGGTTGGTCCTTTGAAAAGATTAAAAATAGATAAATTCTTTCCCAAACTTAGCAAATGAGGGAAGGATGGAAAAGACCCATATCAAAGCAATTAGAAATGAAAAAGAGCAAAATCACAATGGACACCACTGAAATCCAGAAAATTATAAGTAACTAGTTTGAAACCCAGAAGAAATGAAGAGTCTAGACACATATGAATTACCAGAATTGAATCAATAAGATCTAAAAACCCTGAGCAATTCAAAAACAGGCAATGAATTTGAGGCAATAATAAAAACGTTACCAAATATGAAAAGCCCAGGACCCAGTGGATTCACTGCTGAATTTTACTGGAACTTCAGGGGACAATTAATTCCAGTAATCCTCAAACTCTTCCATGAAATTGAAAGGGAAGGAATGCTGCCAATCTCATTCCTCGAAGCTAGCATTATTCTGATACCAAAGCCAAAGAAGGACTTTAAAAAAGAAAATTACAGACCAATTTATGCTTAAATGAACATAAATGAAAAAATTTTCCACAAAAAATGCAAACTGAATACAACAAATCATTAAGATAGTACATTATGACCAAAAAATATCACCTATCATCCCAAGGATGCAAGGATATTCAAGAATAGACAAATAAATATGTGTAATAACCTAGATAAGCAGAAGTAAGGATAAAATCATACAATCATCTCAATAGATGAAGGAAACCCTTTGACCAAATTTGACATTCATTCATGATAAAAACCTTAATAAAAATTGGTATGGAAAGATCTTACCTTAAACTGATAAAAGCCACTATGAACATAACACATTTGGAAAAACTGAAAACACTCCCTCAAAAATCAGGAACAAGCAGACTCCTGTTCAATACAGTGCTCAAAACATTAGCTATAGCAATCAAGCAAGAGAAAGAAGTAAATAGGATTCAAACAGGCAAGGTAGAAGTTGCCTATCCTACTTTGTAAGGATATCCTTATTTGTTAAGAGGGCATTATCTTTTACATAGAAGATCCAAAAAATTCAACCAAAAGACTCTTAGAACTAATAAACAAATTCAGCAAAGTGGGAGGATACAAAGTAAACACACAGAAATCAATAGTATTCCTATACACCAAGTATGAACCCCCAGGAAGGAAATCAGAAAGAATTAAATAGTTAGCAGTTAAGCTAACCAAGTAAGTGAAAGACTTCTATAATGAAAACTATATTGTTCTGTAAAAAGAAATTGAGGAAGACATTGGAAAACAGGAAGACATCCCTGTTCTTGAATAGGCGGAACCAATATTGTCAAAATGGCATTATTATAAAAAGTGATATTTAGATTTAATGCAGTTTTGATAAAAACACCATCAGCTTTTTTCACCAAACTAGAAAATAATTCTAAAATTTTTATGGTACCAGACAAACCTAGAATAGCCAAAGCAATCCTGGGCAACAAGAGTAAAGCAGGAAGCATTATAATTCCAGACTTCAAGTTACACTAAAAAGCTACAGTGATAAAAAGAACACAATATCAGCACAAAAACAGACATGTTAACCAATAGAATAGAATACAGAAAGCAAAATCAACCAAGCACCTTAAGCCAAATGATTTTTGACAAAGGGGCCAATAATATATCCTAAAGAAAAGATAATCTCTTTAACAAATGGTCCTGAGAAGCTTGGTTATCCATGTGTAGAAGAATGAATCTTGATACATTTTTCTCACCTTGTATTAAAATCAAATAAAAATAGATCAAAGACATATTTATGAAAACAGAAACACTGAATCTGCTGAAAGACAAAATTGGTAAAGTTCTTGAAGATGTAGGCATAGGCAAGGACACTCTGAACAGAGCTCTAATTATGCAAGAAAAATAATACCAAGTATCAACACATGGAATTATACATGGAATTATATCATAAGGCCTCTCTGTACAGCAAAAGAAACAACCAATAGTGTAAAGAGACAACTTCCGGAATGTGAAAACTTTTTGCCAGCTACTCAGCCAGAAGACTAATCTTTAGAACATAGAAACTCAAAGAATTAGAGCCCCCCAAAAATTAAAGATTCTATCAAACAATGGACAATTAAAATAGTCATTTCTCAGAAGAAGATGTATAAATGGCTAATAGATACATGAAAACGTCTAAATGATCCGAACAATTCCATTGAGTGATGATTAGATGGTCAGGGTGCCTCTTAAAATCAGCTCTACCTTTGAATAGATGGTGTCTCACCTCCAGAATCTCGTATGTACTCTACATGTTGTCTTTTTTCAGAACATGTTCATTTTCACCTCCTCCAATTCACTTTGCTAACACCTACTCTAGCCTCAATTACTTAGGCTCTCCTTATCCACAGCAATTCAACAGCTTTATTTTGTTGATTCTAAAATAAAAATTGCCATAAATCACTAAATGAATATGTGTTGTCGTCTACTGGGCTTTACATTTCAGTAATTTATTTTGTCTCGTGGCCCTTTATTAGAATACACACTTGACAGGGGCCACTTCAATCACTGCTGTGTCTCCACCACAGAGAACAAACATGATAAGGGCTGGAGATAGAGTACACAAGCATAGGATGCACAAAGCCTTGGGTCCAACTCCAGCACCACAAAAAAGGTGCCTAACACATAAACCTGTGCAGTAACCATTCTGCTTTAGTCTAGTCTACTCTACTTATTAAATCACATAGCAGCAGGAAGAGAGAGAGGACTTAGAGCTTCCAGGGTTGAGGAGGGGAACACTTTCTGCCCCACAGGGATGCTTGGGATCCTGAGACTCAGACTTAGAACAAAACTCAAAGAGCATTTCAAAATAAATTAATTAGACATTTGTGGATAATGAAATATCATGCAGAATGAATTCCTGAGAACTTCAGCCTTATGGGGCACTACAACTACTTAGACTTCAGGTTCATACACATGACGGCCTCTGCCTAAATCACTGCATTTAAATTTCTATATTCAAACTGCTTCAGTTTCCATAATTTGTACCTCTTCAATGAGAGATACAAAGATCTTCATTGTGTGGGTCATGGTTTCTATTTATAAATCTAGAGGCAGAAAGATGTGGAGCATTTCCATCTTAGGTTATTTGGTCATGACAAGTAAGGAGTTGATTTCACCCCCAAGGTTAGAATAGCTTCAATCTGCTTGCTTAATTCCTCCTCCATTTAATCAGCCTCTTGTCACTCCTGAACTATCTCTGCTCTCCTTTTCTCAGGACTCTTCTCTTTTTCTTTCCATATCAACCTGCTATGCACCTTAGATTCACGTTTCTCTGGTCTCCCACACTACTAACTCAACTCAGCCCCCAAGGCTCAAAGTCTTTGGCCAAGATTCTTTGTCACCCTCGCTGGAGTTTTCCATGCTGGGTAAGGCAGCCTGTAGTCTGTTTTACCTTTGGCACAGGAACCTTTGGGAGAGAGCAAGCTGCTGTGGAGTCCAGATTGGAGGTGTATCTCTAGTGTATCTCATTGACTTCATGTTATAGTATATTAAATCATGGAACAAGTCTACACTGTAAAATAGCAAAATCACTTTGTTATACATTTGTTGCTCTGCAACATCCACATGGCTCTAATTCAAGGAATTATCTTATTCTGCCAGTAGCAAAATAATAGCTAATAACTTGGAGTCCAACAAGTTAATATGGTCCATCGGTATCTACTATAATTCAATTTTTTCTTGTTTTGAATGATGAAGAAATAGAGGCATAAAGAAGT